AGGAGGGAAGGAGGGAAATAAGGTGGGAAAGAGGGAAAGAAGGAGGGAAAGAAAGAGAGAAGGAAAAAAGAACAGAAAGAAAGAAAGAGAGGAGGAAAGAAGGAGGAAAAGAGGGAAAGAAAGAGGGAGATGAGGAAATAAGAGGGAAAGGAGAGAAGGAGGGAAAGAAAGAAAGAAGGAAAAAAGGACAGAAAGAAAGAAAGGGAAAGAAAGAGAAGGAAAAAAGGACAGAAAGAAAGAAAAAGGGCAAAGAGATGAGGAGGGAGGGAGACTTTCCCATCAAGCCCCCGCCACCCCCATGGCTCCCTCAACCCCCATCAAGGCTCCACCACCACCCATGGCCCACCCCTCCAATCAAGCCCCCGCCACTGCCGCCACCCTGTACCAGCCAGGTGCCAGGAAAGGTGGGCAGCAGGGCTCCAGAGGCCTTCCCTGGGCTCTGCGCCTCAGTGCAGGTGGAGGGGGGCTCTGCAACTTACCTGGCTGCTTCTTGCTCTGACTGAGGGTTGCTGGGAGCAGGGAATGGGGCTTGTTGCATGTGCTCGCCCCCTGGCCTCTTTACTGCCAGAGCTCCGCTCCTGTGCACTCCTGCAGGAAATGGCCCCTGGTTGAACTGAAACATTTCTTTATATGAGTGATTAAAATGTGGAATTTGCTGTCAGAGGCTATAGTGGTGGACTCAGACACTGACAGCTTCAAGAGGGGGTTAGACAGATCCATGGAGGATAGGCTACTAGCCATGGCTACTAGCCATGGTGACTGAAAGAAGCCTCCACATTCAGAGGCAATAAACCTCTGAATATCAGTTCTAGGAGGCGACTGTATATTCAGCTACGTTGATGTTTTTGAGAAGAAACTTCAGATGTTGTCGAAGGCTTTCACGGCCGGAGTTCATTCGTTGTAGATTTTCTGGGCTGTATGTCACCATCTTTCTGTGTTATACCTCTGAGGATGCCAGTCACAGCTGCTAGCAAAACGTCAGGTCCTACAATGCCAAGACCACGGCCACACAGCCCGGAAAATCTACAACAACTAATAAGCTTCACATGGAACCTCACTCCTGAGGAAGCTGATTTACAAGCATGTATTTTATGCCCAGATTATGCTTCAGCAATTTACATCATTTATGAGGTCAACAATTACAGGGGCATCTTCATAAAGTGTTTGGCATCAAATTTGAGCATTATATATACACCAACTGGGCGATTAAATTCTGTTGTGATGCCTACGTCATGCTGTCGCTGATAGAAGGACTTTGAAGTACAAAGTCTCCCAGAATTAAATAAAAGGCATTATTGATTTAGATTACAAACCAACCCCCCCCGAACAAATTATCAATCAATTGTTAGAAATGAAAAATTAAATAATTTTTATGAATTAATAATTTGTTCTGTTTTTCCTTTCTCCTCCAGAAAAAAATTCATCTTGGTTAATTTAGAAGGAATGATTGTTGCATTGCAATGTCAGGAGCTAGTCTGTAATATCATTTGTCTGACCACTGAGGAAGGCCAGGGTCAATAATGGTCATTTTTGGTTGTCACCGTACAAATTGATTCTTAACTGAGGCTATCACCAGGGCCAGTATCTTTTTTACAGTTTACCCTATAATAACTACATGCATATGTTGTATATCTCTCAATATTTAATGTTTTTCACTTGATTTACAGAATTATTGGGCCTATACACTCAGACCTTCTTAACCTCTTTGGGTCTTAGTCAATTCAGTTTGGGTTAAGTTCACCACCCCCTTTCCTCCCGTTTATAGTTGATTTAGAAACAGGACATTGAGATGCTGCTACTTGTCCTGGGTTGGGGATCTGAAAAACAGGGTGTCCTGGTGGATGTGGGACCGTTGAAAGGTAATTCTGGAAAAACGGTGGAGAAGCTTGAATGGACATTGAACCACTGCCACTTCCGGGGAGTCCCCGTGACCTCTGATCTCTGTAAATAAAAATTATCCTATTTTTTTAAAAGTACTCATTTTTTTAATGTAATACAATGTACATACAAATAATGCTACAAAATATACAAACAATGCAATGAAAATGGATTACAAAATTAGAGACTACACGAGGAAAAGTGTAGGATGTGTACAATAAAACAAGGATGACAAAATTGGAGGACAATGGATCAAAAATAGTATAATATATATGGTGAACAATGCAAGGAAAACTGCCTAAAATATATCCTTGATTTTCATGACTGCACAACGCTGTCAACATGCTGGCTGATTCTGCATTGGCTTTTCCCTCTGTTGTTTTGCAAAACCTACGTTGGAACAGAAATTCCCCTCTGCATTGCATGCCACTTTAACTTCCTTTGATCAACGGATTTTATAGTAGCCTCCACACTCCATGCCGCTTTCGCTTTCTTTGATCATCAGATTTTATTGTACCTTCTGCATAGTTTATGGCCATTTTATGGCCATTCAGGGGTGACTTTGCAGTCAGTACGGTGTTGCCCCGAGGTATCTGAATGTGGTTTTGAGCTGCACCTTTCCCTCCCAGTTGAGAAAATGTGGAGCGAATGCCAGATGCAGAATCGCCCACTGTCTGCCCTCTCATTGTCACCATTCTAGCAGTTCTCCAGCAACTATTCCATTGAGTAGAGGCCATAGATTGATAGAAATGTTATCTTGTAATAGAATTTAAAATGTTAAAGCAAATATAAGTAATGTAAAGGGAAAAAGGGTCGAGCACTGCGGGAAGCCACTAGCAAGGGAGGGGGGAAAGGGAAATATGGGTATTGGATAAGTGAAAGCCAATGTTAAATGTGATATTATATCCAAAAAATAAAAGTTTTGTACAAAAAAAAAAAGAGAAGAGGCCATAGATTTACATCTCTTGTAAGCCACCGAAACTGGTAATGGTGTTTGTAAACGTCACATTCATCCAGGGCTCTTTTTGTGGAAAAAGCCCAGCAGGAACTCATTAGCATATTGGCCACACCCAACAACAGGAACTCATTAGCATATTAGGTCACACCCCTGACAGCACAGCTCATTAGTATATTAGGCCGCACCCCCATGTTACCAGAAGTGTGGTTATCCAGCCACACCCACCTTTTGCTTGTTATTCTGTTTACCTTGTTTGTTGTCAAAACCCAGGGCCTTTTTTTGTAGCGGGAACTCCTTTGCATGTTAGGCCACACACCCCTAATGTAGCCAATCCTAATGAGTTCCTGCAGTTGGGTGTGGCCTATTATGCTAATGAGTCCCTGCTGGGCGTGGCCAACTCAGGAGCCAGCCGGAACTCCGTTCCTGTGCGTTCCTACCCCAAAATAGCCCTGCATTCATCTATAGTGATTCTGCTCACATGTCCAGCTGAAACACTAAAGCCCTCATTGTTTCAAGGGAAAGGTCCCCAATTTTAAAAACACCCGTGTTTTGAACTTTCTGAGGTAGAACACTGGATCTCCTGGCCTTCATTAGAATACTAACCCACATTAGAATACTCCAGTGCAGAAATATGCACATCACCTACATCTCGCTGCTTTGTATGAAGCCCACCCCCCTTTTCTGAGAAAATAAGGAGGGGGTTGATCTTACTGAAGCCAAGCCACAAACCTGCATCTTTGGTTGTATATTTCCGGTTGCAACGACCCCTCTCTTAAAGCACTTATAGCAATGATTTCTTGGCATGATGGACAGACTCAGCAGTAACCTGATCCTGCAATACACTGAATAAACACTTTAGCATTTAGTGCTTGAACGCTAATATGCTCTGAAGTAATTGCTTAGAGAGGGCCTCCGCTCCAGAAACAGAATGCAGAGGTTGCACTTATATACCATGCAAGGGAAAGGGGAAAAAATGCCGCTGCACAAAATTTTCATCTCTCTCTTCCTCCTCACTTTGCCTCGTGCACGGATATATTTTGATTAGCGCTGTAGGGAGCTGGAAACAAATGTGTTCACAGCCAGATCCGGCAAGTGCTTACAAAGGACTGAGGTTGTACCACTATTTGAAGGACTGCAGGCTCCCCTCCAAGCAACCAATCACACCTCGAGAGAGAGAGAAGGTAGCACAGGCAGGCAGTCGTCCATCATGCCTAGATTGAGCTTAGAGTTGGCAGGTGCCCCCCTGGCCACCAGCAAGGGATGAGGGCATAGGGTTTCCATATCCAGGTTGGGAGACTCCTGGACATTTGGGGAAGGAGTCTGGAGAGGGCAGGGACCTCAGTGGGGTATAATGCCGTAGAGGACACCCTCCAAAGCATCCATTTTCTCCAGGGGAACTGAAGTAATCCCCAGGTCCCACCTGGAGGCTGGCAAACCTTGCAGGTCCAGCTGAGAACTCCTCCCAGTTGCCATCAGCAATGACCAAGAGAGAAGTTAGCAGCCGGGCATACTTTCATCAAGGCTAGATTGAGGTAGGGTTGCCAGGTCCTCACCGTGTTCTGGCGGGGGACTCCAATCTTATTCCTGGAGTCTTCTGGCACATGCGCTTTGTCCACACACCACAATGACATCACCCGGAAATGATGTCATCACATAGGGCAAGTTGCATGGGGGCGCTCTAGCATTTTTTGGGGGGGACTCTATGGTTACCATAGAGTTTCCCCCCAAATGCTAGAGTGTCCCCTGTGCGGTGTGTCCTGCGTGATGACCTGTGTGCAACAGTCATGATGATGTTTGCAACAGCCACACTACCTGCACAATGCTACAGCGTGAATGGAATTACATTCACACCTTCACATGTTCCAGACACACTGTATAGGATCGGTGCGCACGGGGCAATGTAGTTCTCTCCGTCTTGGCGCCACCGATTTGGCAGAGTGATCTTGGCAAGAGAGGCCTATGTAACAGAGCGACGGGGAGGTTGGCGAAGATAGAACAGGCTGTCTGTTGTCACTTTTACTTCTTTTTTTGTCAGGATCGGCTCAGGCTGTGCCGAGAGAGGCCTATGTAAGAGACCGACGGGGAGGTTGGCGCAGATAGAACAGGCTGTCTATTGTCACTTTTACTTCTTTTTTGTCAGGATCGGCTCAGGCTGTGCGACAAGATGCAGGTCTTTGTGAAGACCCTAACTGGCAAGACCATTACCTTGGAGGCGGAGCCCAGTGACACCATTGAGAACATGAAGGCCAAAATCCAGGACAAGGAGGGCATTCCTCCCGATCAACAGAGGCTGATCTTTGCTGGCAAGCAGTTGGAAGACGGCCGCACCCTCTCTGACCACAAAATCCAGAAGGAATCGACCCTGCATCTTGTGTTGCGCCTGAGGGGAGGCATGCAGATCTTTGTGAAGACCCTGACAGGCAAGACCATCACCCTGGAGGCGGAGCCCAGTGACACCATTGAGAACGTGAAAGCCAAGATCCAGGATAAAGAGGGCATCCCCTCTGACCAGCGGAGGCTGATCTTTGCTGGCAAGCAGTTGGAAGACGGCCGCACCCTCCCTGACTACAACATCCAGAAGGAATCCACCCTGCATCTTGTGTTGCGTCTCAGGGGTGGTTAATCAATTTATTTTTGCTTCCATCCACTTAAGTGAAACTTCACTGCACTTTGTTTCAATAAAGCTGTATAGGATCCAAGCCCAGGTGATGATGAACTAGAACTGAGGTGGTATATATAGAGAGAGACTATGGCTGAGTTCAGACTGGCCGCTTGCCCTGGTATAGGTACGTGCCAGAAACGTTCCCCAACCGGATTAAAGGGGCCGTTCGCACAGGCACATCTGTCAGGCGTTCCCCACCCATACTCAGCCCGTCTTATAACGCTTCACACCCAAGTTGAAAAGATACCTGGTGAAAGTGGTAGCAAACCCTGGAAAATGCAACTATTCCATGTCCATCCCGCATCAACAAAGTGTGAACACCAAAAGCTGTGTTTTTCTTATGTGTTTATGCGCATAAGCGCTCATGCGCATAAAGGCATATCTCCAGATTGCCAAAAAGAAAGCCACGCCTTACAGCTGTGCCTCCGGGCCAACAGTGTGAACGCTCCCTTGCGCATCCGTTGCTGCAGTGTGAATGGGAAAACCTGGAACAGTTTGTTTCGGTTCTTTTTTTTTTGCCACGACTCCCTCCCACTTCAAAGTGCCAGTCTGAACTCGGCCAGTGGTTCAGTGGAAGATAACCTGCTTTGCAGGCTGAAGGTCCCAGCTTTGATCTCTTTCATCTCCAGTTAAAGGATCTCAGTCGATCTTCAAGAGGCCTTTCTCTGCCTGAAACCTTGGAGAGCTGCTGACCTTCAAGGCCCCCCCCCCCAATTTCTTTTAAGTTTCAGGATTGGTTAGGATAACCATTTTGTCCATTGGCAACAGTTCCGGTTTTCATGTTTCTTTCATAAGATATCATATGCAGTCAGATTTACACAATTGACACTAAAAGGGCTTCTATTTTAATGGCAATATTTCAGTCTGATTTTGTTAACACAGGCCGGGAAATGGATGATCACAATTTTGTGCTGAGTTTGGTGAAAATGTAAACTTAAATTTTTAAAATTTATTTTGAATATTTAAGGTAATGCAGAAGGAAAAAAGGAAATGGGGGAATGCTTAAAAATATAATTACAAAAACACAATATAAAGGACAATTTTACAAGTATTAAGGACATTCCTTGATCAAAATACACACACACTCACATATATAAAAGAGTATATAGCTTAAAGAGTATATTGCATGATATATATGGCATAATAGCTTCAAGATATATATGGCATAGCCCTGACCTGGATAGCCCAGGCAAGCCCAATCTTGTCAGATCTCGGAAGCTAAGCAGGGTCGACTCTGGCAAGTACTTGGATGGGAGACCTCCGAGGAATACCAGCAGTCGGGAGGCGGGGGCAGGCTTTACTCAGCCACCTCTCTGAATATCCTCCAGGCCCATGACTTCCAGGTGTACACACACTCACACGTGCACACACAAACACATGTACATATGATAAACACAGAGAAATACAAGAATACATATTAAGCATAATAGCTTAAAGAATCAGTGTAACAAGCTCTTTGACATATTCTACCACTTTTTCATAACAGTCATATAAAAATAATGCCCTTAATATTTCATATTAAAACTCTCGTATAGTATTACATCATATTAAACCATTCAAATGTATAACTACAGAGATTGGTTATAATAATCATAGAAAACTTGCCAGTTATTTTCATATTCATCTTTCAGTCTTTGATTAATGTAGTTTGTCAGTTTTGCGATAACTGCATATTCTTGCATCTTTTCTATCAAATTCTCAAGAGTTGGGCAACCCTCAATTTCCCACTTAGCTGCAAATTCTGAACAATTTGTGCATTGTTCTTTCTTCATTCACTGGTAGAATTCCTAGTACATTGTCTCTGGTGATACTGCATATTTAATATTCAATTTTTTTTGAATCTCAATATGTATTTCTGTCCAATATTTGCTAGGTTTTTTTGCAAGACCACCACAGTGAAAATGTAAACTTAATCTTCTGAATTGCACCAGAGTTGTTACAAAACTCAATAACGTCCATAGAAGACAAGTCAGCTCTTCCCCCCCTTGCCTACATTACGGATGCCCACACACACATTAGGGATGCTCACGAAGTTCTCTACTACCCAATTTATCATCACTCATTGGCACAAAACAAAATGAATTTGACTTTTTGTTTTTGAACTCTCCGTTTGTTGCTGCCTATAATTACTTTATACGTATTTGGTTATGTATTTATTTGTGTAACTCGTGAAGACGCGTTGTGCATATAGAAAGGCTGTGCACATTGGAGAGCAGTCCCAGATCTCAGAAGCCAGTGTTGCATCTGTGCTCTTTCATTTCATTTGTTTAGAACATTTTTGTGCTGGCTTTTCAGAGACTTCCTTGTGGCCGTTCATTAGGTATGTACAGGGGTAATTTCCTGCAGGAGCACACAGGAGCGGAGCTCCGGCAGTAAAGAGCCCAGGGGGTGGGCACATGCAACAAGCCCCACCCCCTGCTTCCAGCAGCCCTCAGTCAGAGCAAGAAGCAGCCAGGTAAGTTGCAGAGCCCCCCCCCCGCCTCCCCGGTCCATAACAGTCCAGTGGCACCTTTAAGACCAAGTTTTATTCAGGTACAAGCTCTCCCTCCTCTGCAAGGACAGATCTGCACGTTCCCCTCCCCCAATAGCTAGCAATCCAAAACAGTCCAGTGGAGCCTGAGAGGTGGGTGTTGCCTTCTGACACACTTCCGGTGATGTCAGGGGGTGTGGCATATGCAAATAAGTTATGCTAATGAGTTATGCTAATGAGCTCCTGCACCTTTTTCTACAAAATGACCCCTGAGTATGGACAATACAGTAAAACCACAAAGCTGACAGCATAAAAAGAAGCCATAAAATATGAAATGTCTTATTAAATAATGAGTAGAATAAGTTATTCAATATATATTTTGGAGTCAGATCAAGATGGGAAGCCGTGTTTGTCTGTAGCAGTAAAAATGGAGCAAGAGTCCAGGAGCACCTTAAAGATGAAAAAAAAAATGTGGCAGGGTAGGAGCTTTCTTCAGCAGCGACTCACGAAAGCTCCTCCCCTGCCACAAATTTTGCTAGTCTTTAAAGTGCTCCTGGACTCGTGATACTTTGGGATAACCTAAAGGACAGTAGTAAATCCTGTTCATCTCAGTTTGTTCCCAAGTAACTGCAGATAGGATTAGAAAAGAGTAAGAGTTCAGTAGTACCTTAAGGACTTACATCATTTGTGGCAGGGTAGGAGCTTTCATGAATCACAGCTCACTTCTTCAGATATAGCTGTATCTCATGAAAGCTCCTACCCTGCCACAAATTTTGCTAGTCTTTTAAGGTGCTCCTGGACTCTTGCTCATTTCTACTGCTACAGACAGACTAACACGGCTACCCATCTTGATCTATCTGTGGTAGGATTGGAGCTCTTGAGCCCAACTTTGTCCAGGTTTACTCAGAAGTCTGAGATTTATTTCCGTGCTAACATGCCTAGTATTGCAACCTTAAACACACGGGGCTTGATCCAACTAATCTGAAGTGCTTTCAGGACTCATTAATTTCAATGGGAGAGTTAAGCTCCCGCTCAAAACTTTCCCATTAAAATCAATGGGCCTTTGCTCTTCTATTGGACTGCACCCCTGAAAGGGTAGCTCTCGACATTTATGGAACACTGTCTCTAAGAGGTGCTCCTTGCCAGCAGAGAATCCAGAATTCCACCGTGTCATGTCCAAAGCAAAGGTTGCCAACTTTTCAAGTAAGCACCTTCTGCTGAATGTCTGGTCTGCAGCAACTGACAGGTGATCCTATTTACCTCCTGGCCATGAAAAGTTTCACCCCCTGATTTTTGGGCATCAGGTTGCTGTTAAAGGCATTGAAGGGATAAGCTAGGTTGGGCTTTTTCTCTCTTAATCAATCAAAATAGTGGCCACTTAAAGACCAACAACATTCATTTCAATATGAGCTGCCATGAGTCACGGCCCACTTCCTCGGATATTATATGATGGAAAATCATACTGGGGGATTTTTATAGGGCAGGTTGGGGGAAGGGGAAGAACGAAGGCCTTTCCAGATCTCAATATAAGGGGAAACGGGAGGAGATAATGTTCACTGTGGTCCTTTCCACACTAGACCTTCAATCCTGGTTCAACCCTGTCCTCAAACTTACATTCTACACTCCACTCGAGTTCACCTCTGTAATTATCTCGGGGTATTTTTACATTCTACACTCCACTCGAGTTCACCCCTGTAATTATCTCGGGGTATTTTTACATTCTACACTCCACTCGAGTTCACCCCTGTAATTATCTCGGGGTATTTTTACATTCTACACTCCACTCGAGTTCACCCCTGTAATTATCTCGGGGTATTTTTACATTCTACACTCCACTCGAGTTCACCCCTGTAATTATCTTGGGGTATTTTTACATTCTTTCTACACTCCACTCGAGTTCACCCCTGTAATTATCTCGGGGTATTTTTACATTCTACACTCTCGGGGTATTTTTACATTCTACGCTCCACTCGATTTCACCCCTGTAATTATCTCGGGGTATTTTTACATTCTACACTCTACTCGAGTTCACCCCTGTAATTATCTTGGGGTATTTTTACATTCTACACTCCACTCGAGTTCACCCCTGTAATTATCTCGGGGTATTTTTACATTCTACACTCCACTCGAGTTCACCCCTGTAATTATCTCGGGGTATTTTTACATTCTACACTCTACTCGAGTTCACCCCTGTAATTATCTCGGGGTATTTTTACATTCTACACTCCACTTGAGTTCACCCCTGTAAATATCTCGGGGTATTTTTACATTCTACACTCCACTCGAGTTCACCCCTGTAATTATCTTGGGGTATTTTTTGTTTCCACATTACATTGAGATCGCCCCACACTTGTCCCAGGATAAACGGATGCTGTTATAACCAGGGATAAATTCGAAGTCCTGAGTTGAACTCTGATAAAACCAGGGATGAGCTCCAAGTGCAGAAAAGACCTGTGAAGCCTCTGTAGAATCGACAGCTTACTTCTCTTCT